TCTCCTCTCCTCTCCTCTCCTCTCCTCTCCTCTCCTCTCCTCTCCCTTTCCTAAGATTTCCTTTTCTGGCACGAATTTTCATTAATTGACAAAACGTCCCCAGCCTTCAGCAGACCACTTAATTAAGAGGAAATTGCTAGAAAACAGCAGTATCTTTGGGCATGAGATAAGGTCTTTTCCAGCTGGCTCCCTGCTTGGAATTCCATTCTAGAGTGAGATCTGGAGAATGCTAATTTTGAGAAAATAAAGCATTTTTATTTCTTGAGATTAAACGTTTTGGTTATGTCAATGAAACAATTTCTGTACCAGCAACAGCTGAAATGAAAGCAATTGTCAATAAATACATTTTATTTGCTGACAATCATTTCATTGCTTAATGCTCCTTAGTATTTCACAAAGATTTCAGAGTACTTTTCAGTATTTCAGTATTTTAGAAGCATAGAATACATAATTGTACAAGCAGTCATTGCTTTCTCAGATGCACTTGTTTCAGCATGCCACATATCACTGCCACAAGCTCTTAACTGTATACAGTTCTGTTTCCCTTAAAAGTCATACATTTTCTCTGACTCTTCTAAATTTTTCTGCTTTGCTTCAAACAAACGTTTTACTATTGCACACTGAAGCAGAGGCAAAAGGCATAATTACAAGCACATGTATGTAAAAGTAAGCAAGTTAAGCAAGTGTATAAACTGGAATTCAGAAACCCTAGAAACAATCCCTGGCTCTGCAATTAGCAGCTGGCTGATTAGAATAGTTTGCCACAGGGTTTAGTGCTGAAAATATCATCTACTGTGATTGCTGACTCCGCTGATTCTAGGAGCTGGTGCTTTGCTGTGAACTAGTACTCAGTTTTTTGCATGAATAGGACAGGATCATAGTCAAACATATTGGCAGGTCATCCATTCTGCTGCAGCCAGTGAGGTGCCCTGGTTCACTGTGCAGCAATCAGGCTGGATGTGGCTCTGGGCAGCCTGGCCTGGTGGCTGGCAACCCTGTGCATAGCAGGAGATTGAAGTAGATGAGCATTGTGGTCCTTTTGAACCCAGGGCATTCTATGATTCTATGAACCTCTTACTGTTGATATTCATTATAGTTTTCTGCCTCATGTTCAGGGTAGATGGTTTGCTGAATTCTCCTTCTCTTCCCAGGATCAGAGAATTACCAAGAAATTTCTATGCAGAATGATTTTAGAGATCTAGGTTTGCAACTACAAGCAAGTGAAAGCAAAATACATACCTCCAGCTTGTGACTCTCTTTTGGAGCCACAGAGTTTGAATCACGAATGGTTTATATCATTCTAACTGAAAAACACAACTTTTTATAGACTAGCCTTCCCTCTCAGGTCTCTTCTCTAGCCCCACTGTAGCCCAGCTTCAATTTGCCATTATTTTCAGAGACATTAGAAAAAAGTAATAGCTGTGTCGGAAAAGGTATTCTGCATAAAAATACATTTTTCCTGTTACTTTCTTTCATGAGAGTTTAGCCTCTCATCCAAAGCCTATGGAAGGGACACAGTGACTTCAGGCTGTATGGTCTCTGTTAGGGTTACAGATGTGCATTGCTCCGCTGAGGCTGTAAATCATGCTCCCCCTGGCGTTAATGCTGTCAGTGCCTCTGTGCATATATTGCTGAACTTCTGCAAAGACGTCAAGGAAACAGAAATGGACCATAAGGGAGAAGCTGGTGTGTTCTTGAGACTGTGTGGTCCAAAGCTTCTGCTTCAGAAGATAACTAGCCCTTTATTCTGTTTCAATTGTGTTTAGAGTAGGCAGTGCAGTTGTTCTAAGGGCTGCAGACAAGTCAAACAAGCAACCAGTTATTTTAAACGATTTGTTTCTCTCTTTTGAGCTTTTAGTGAAGAAAAAGAGAAAGCTTCAGTTTCAACTTGGGACAGCAAATATGTTTTCTCTTTATTTTTCCTCTTCACTGGTTATATCCATTTTCTTGTGGTTTGGGACAGTGGCAGCACAAGCACTGAAAATGCACTGCTACATGTGGGAGACTAGCAGTTTTATTTCTGCAGGATTCAAAATCCACATGTATGGAGATTGGGTGAGAACCGTGCGTAGGCTGCCCTTCTTTTGGTGGTGTCTCTAGCCTGCCAAGCACAACCCAGGGATGGAATTTCCAATGGAGTGTTCAAAAGGGAATTTTTTGTATCTTCTAAACAGGGAATAATGTTCTTATACATAGTATAAGAATGCTAAGTAGCACAAGTAGCATGTTTTTATACTACAGATAATCTTGAAATAGACTTTTGAATTTGGTATGAGTGTAAGACCTCATCTTTTGTTTCAAGAACCTCCCTGAGGTAAATACAGTGAGAACTGAGATTAATTGTAGTACTGAGAAATAATCCTTTCATGGATGATGCTATCATAGGCAATGATAAGCTGACAGTTGTAGAAACTATGCTTAATATTACAGACCTATAAATGTACTGCATGCATCTATGTTATACATAGAGAGAATAGAATAGAATCATAGACTCACAGAATCACCAAGGTTGGAAAAGACCTCCAAGATCATCGAGTCCAACCATCCACCTACCACCAATACTGCCCACCAAACCATGTCCCATTGTACCACAACAATGCATTTCTTGAACACCTCCAGGGAGGGTGACTCTACTACCTCCCTGGGCAGCCCACTCCAGCATCTGAGCACTCTTTCAGAAGATAAGCACCCCCATTTTTTCCTATGTTTTACCTATTTTTTAAAATAATTTTTTCCTAATATTCAATCTGAACCCCCCCACCCCCCCCAACACACACAAATAGTGTGCCTGTATAGCTCTTTTTGCATTATGAAGTAAGTTAATGTGTAGTTTGCTGTCTAAGAAGTCCCTGACTCATTTCCAGAATGTGTTCTGAACTTCACATTGCAGATTTGCTGCATGGTGATTTCTGTAACTTTTGGTTTGCTATTTCAGCCATTCCACTGAACAGA